AAAAAAAAGTAAAAGAGAAATAAAGAGAAGGTTCCTAAAGGCAGTAGCCAACACGAGCAGCACCTGTTAAGTGTTAAAAAGCTGAGGCCGGTGTCGGCCCCGATACAGCAGCCTTCTACCAAGCACCTGCTTTTTGGGGGCTGTTAAACAGAAGCGGGACTTCCAACATGACAACAACCTGCCTGCAGGTGTAACTCAGAGCTGAGCACGCTCAGCATGGCATCTACAGTTTAAAACAAGATTAAGCCCTGGTTTTGGGCAGGGAGCTAGAGAATCATAGAATCATTATAGAATCATAGAGTCATTATGGTTGGAAGAGACCTCAAAGATCATCGAGTCCAACCGTATAAGAAGAATTGTCCTGTCATTCACAGCCTCGTGGCACGAAGCGGTGCATGGCAGCTGCACGCCCAAATCCCCACCCTGGGACAAAGGCATCGATGGCGTCGGAGGCAACGACAACCACAGGTTCCCACGCGTTTCTGCCTGCATCCATCTTCCTACAAAGAAACTAACTACACACCATTTGCTAACAGTTGTTCATGCAGTACGAAGTAGCTCAGTACATACAGAATGTTGAAACACTCAAACACAGAAATACTTAATTAACAAACTTTAATTCATAAGACTAATCTTACAGAATAAAACAATAGGATAACCAGTTAAGGTTACACTTAAAAAAATCCAGCAGTGCAAATCTAAGACTAAGTATTTGTCATCGCCCCCTCCTCTGAAATAGGCAACAGATTATTTAAAAATACCATAATACATGGTACTTACATACTCCATTTAAAATAAATCTGCAGTGGACACAAATATCTAAGACTTTTTTTTTTAATATAAAACCAAAGAATTAATTGCTTAGAATATGGATAAGACATAGTGAACTTCCATGAGCCACAGAAAGCAAATCCTTGGCTAGAAGGTAAAGTGGCCGTATGTTTCAGACAAGACCTACTGCAGCTCTCCTCCCTCCCCCAGTGACGAGGACATTAATTAACAACACAACACACTAACAACCTAATCCTACCAGGTGGCGAAAGGCTGGAGTACCAAACTTCAAATGAAAACAGTTCCATTGGAAAAAAAAAATCAAGTTACAGAGGAAGAGAAAGTAAACAAAAGAAGGGAAGTCTGGAAGCAAACCTTGCTCCACCAAGCCGGCACAGCAAGCAACCAGTGCCGGGAGCGCACACCGTGCCTGTGCCGGCACCCGCACCGCCGCGTCACCGGCGAGGGAACGCTGCCTTCGGGAAGGGGAGAGCACGAAACAGAGCACCCCCGTATGGCACCTGGGCACTGTCCTTCCAAGTGAATTGTTTCTCTTTGGCCCTTCAAATACAAGGAAGCAATGGACGCCAACTGCGCCAAGCATAAAACTTAGCAGGTTGCGTGCGTGTGTTACCAGTTATAACGTATTGCGTATTAAGTTTCTTATCTGGTTCTCTGAATTCAGATCACTTCTTCTCTTCCATCATCATAGCATCCTTATTGTAGTCATATATTTCTCATCAAACAGTGTCATTAATGGAAACTAATGACTGACTTTAATCTGAAATGTGCTATGAGAGACTTGTGAGTAATACAAGATTTTCACCCAGGACCCAGTCTCCATTCAAACCCAAACAAGGCTTTGCGATAGACTGTCGCATTCCTACCGCAATACTAATCCAGGCACTGTTTACGCTTGGGAGCACAAACAGAGGAGGAAGGAAGGAAGGAACGCCAAACTCGGGACGAGGAGAGAAGCGGCAGCCCACAGCGCTTGGCACGGAGAAGGGGAAGGGATGGCCCAGAGGTGAGCTGCAACACTCAGCGCCGCGGAACGGCGCAGGGAGGGCTCGGGGGCCGCAGCAGGACTCCTCCCCGGCGGGACGGCAGCGAGGGGGGAGATGCTGCCTGGCCTTGGGAGCAGCTGCCAGCGCGGCGTGGGAAACAGCAGCTTTCTTCTGTGGAAACCCACGTTTGCGTTACGGATGCTTCAATCCCTGATTAGTAAACCCAGCAAAGCACTTAATACAGCTTCATAAGGAATCGTACCCCAAAATGCTCACAGGGAATTACACATCTATACAATAAGGAACCAACCGCTGTTGAACGGACATTGTTAAATTGTAATTTAACTGAAATAAACTTTTGCGCAAGAATCGCCAGCTATTACCATAAACTTCCTAGAGAAGATTACATGTTGGATCTCAAGATCTTTATCAGCCAACTCAAAATACTGATTATATTTGCACTTGACTCACAATGCTTGTGTCTTACTGAGGACTAACTGCCAAATTCCTCCACAGGACCACTTGTTAGGCTGAATCCGTCCTGGAGATGATCAGAGTTATCAGAGAGTGAAATCCAAAGTTGCAAGAGAGGCTAGCACATGGCTCCCCAGTTAGGCACGGTATGATGCTATCCAACTAAAGAGATGGTGTTTTCTTAGATGTTAATGTCAATAACCACCTTGGAAAAACTGGTATATACCAGAAGATACAAAGCTCCGCATCATTCCAAAAGAGGAAGGATCTTCAAAGTGGTGCTGCTAAGTTCAATGGGAATATTCATTTCCAAGAACTCCCAAGAAACCTACTACATTAAGTTAACAAACACCAATTAACACATTTTATGTAAGTATCGCTTTCCTGTACTTTAATTCAAACTTTGCATATGGAACAAAAAAGTGAAACAACTTCATTTTAAAAATCAAATCCAACTTGAAAAGAAGCACCTAAATAGGATCACATTTTCTTAGTTTATAATATTTTCTTCTCCATGTTCAAAATTGCTTTGTAACCAACGGTTTTTATATTGTTTCTTTTGAGATGATCAATTGTACCTGGCACAAGATGCAGAGTAATCGCGTCCTTGGGAAAGGAGCAGACAGGGATGTTAAATACTGCTCTGCACCCCACGCCCAACGTGCCCTTCTTGCCTCGGCAGCAGTAGCTCAGGTATCTGCCCTCCCGCAGCGCTGGCAGCGGAGCGTACTCACCCGGGTCGCTGCATCAAGCACAGAAGCCACAGGAACTCTGAAGAGGAGCTGGAGCGAAGATACATGCCCTCTCAAGGAGCAAGCAAATGAAAGAATAGGAAAGGAAAATGGAATATGAACGGATGTACAGACAGGGCCAGGCAAGTCAAGTAGCAAGTGGGAGCTGATAATCACAGAATCAGCACGAAGGCGAGTGCAAAGGTGACCCCAAGTGACAGAAAAAGCTCACGTCACCAATTTTCTTTATACTGTAGTGCGTACACTTTCCATCAGGTACTGAATTTTAAGTTTAAGCCTTAACACCAGGACTGGCAATCAGAAAAGAAGTAGTGTGATAGCTGCATTTAATTTGTCATGTTATCTCCAATTAACTCACGCCAACTCCACTACCCGCACTCGCTTGCTCCAAGCGTCGGAAGGGGGCTGCTCTAGGGAGTCGACACAGCTCTACTGAATTTTAAGTTTAAGCCTTAACTGGCAATCAGAAAAGAAGTAGTGTGATAGCTGCATTTAATTTGTCATGTTATCTCCAATTAACTCACGCCAACTCCACTACCTGCACTCGCTTGCTCCAAGCGTCGGAAGGGGGCTGCTCTAGGGAGTCGACACAGCTCTGCCGCAGGAAAAGTTCCTGTCTCGATGCACTGATGTCAAGACACACTGCTGTTGGCTTGTATACAGGAAGGAAATATCTCAAGCTAGGAGAGTAACAAGCACATCACTAGTTCATATGGAGGATATGAAACACCTTTAAAATTCATACTGCATGAATGTTCTGACTGAAAATAAAAAACAAAAGCTGCTTATGTTGCTATCAAGAGTCTATAGGTAAATACGTAATCTTAATGCATACTGTAAAGTGAACGCTTTTCCCAGTCTCTCAAATAGAATAACATAAAATAAAATAAAAATAAATACTCATTTGGGAATTTGCACTTGCCGAGTTTCAACTGGGCTGTTTAAAGGGGAGTGAAAAACAGACATGGAATACACATTAAGATCAGCTATTCCTGAAAGGCTATTTCACCAGGAGTTTCACAGAATGTTGAGCTACTTGCATTGAGCAGTATCAAGCCTACAGTGTTAAAAAAGGAACAGCGATCTGTTAGATGCAGGTTTAACACAGAGCAAGACTGATTCAGTCTGACTGTATAATACAATCTGTTAAGGGCGTGTACCTTTTCAGGACTGAAAGGTCCATTTAGAAAACCTGAGATAAATGGCACGTGAATTGCTGAGATGACATGCGAACATCACAAAGCAAAGGCGAGGAGCGTTATTTCAAACAGATGAGACAGACGAGATGCAAGAACTTCCTGTAAACTTGAGCAAGAGAAAAGCTGAAAGGTGATTTACATTTCAAAAGACCAGTTGCTGGATAGGCGTTCTAAATTTGGTAAGATTCACCGAATAAGATCACTATAAATTTTCAAATCCAGGTCACAAAAGACTACTGCAGTTATTTAGGATCCAAACCAGCATCTGAGCTTCTCTCTTCCCTGCTCCCCCCACCCCCAAATATGACAGGAAGGTCTCTTTGGTTCACCTCCTTTGCAAGATCCCCATCACTGCTTCACCCGGCTCCTGCCAGACAGTGGGACGCAGCGTGCTGTAGAACAGGGCAGTGTCATCACAACAGCTGCAAAATGATTCTGGACTACAACACGCATGATCCAGAAAATGCTCCTAAAATGCAGCAGCCCCAGGGCAGGAGGCAGAACAGGAGCAGGGAGGTATGTGGGTGGGAGAGGAACACCTCACCTGGCATGAAAGGGGACAGTAAGCAGCACCGGGTCATTGCTATTACAAAACATCCACAGTGGTATTCATCTGCTCCAAACATGCTACACAGAGTACCAACCCAGAGCTTCTAGTATTGAAAACAAAAAAGGTGAGAGAAAAAAAAAAAAAAGCAGGGCATCTTTGGGTTAAAAAAAAAATAAAATTACTTTTGCTACTAAAGAGTCAAACCTGAAATAAAAGGGCCAGCAGAATATGGCTTACTAAACATTAATTTTGCATACTGTTTAAAGTTTATTTTTTAAAAACTGCTTCTGAAATTCTCAGTCACAATCAAGTAACTAAATTAAGCCTAATGCTTGTAACTGAAAGATTATGAAAATACTTGTTTTTTGTTCAAACCATGTAAAAAATCCTCAATACATTTTAATATTTTCTTTTCAAAACTAAATTGGAAGATCAACTCTCAGCAGATTTAAGTGTATTACACACAGTATTTTGTGAATTAAGATTTATTGATTTCCATTGTATTTGCTTTAAATATGGTTGAAGCTGACTGCAGAAAAGGGATGGTGAAATTTTTAAGTTAAAAGTAAACTAATGGTGAAAGAACATCACCTCTGGCTTCCATCAATGCCTCGTTTATCATATTTTATTAATAAGTTCCAGGACTGTCACATCCAGGGATGTTGGAGGCCTCTCCCAGCAGTGTCCTTAGCTTTGTGTCATTTTCCTGTGCCAGAGGTGAGCGTGCTTTCAAAAATACTGCCACTTTCCCAGCACCGTGTCTTTGATTGCATCAACATATTGAGTTGGTACCCAATAGACCCAGTAGTAAGACGCTTCTGTTGGGCCCAGCTGAAATGCCTGCAAAGTCAAAAATGACAACATTTACAAACGGGAAACAGAACACCTAATACCTGTGGACAGATACAGCTTATCCACTACGAAACCAGACAAGTCTGTTATACCTCCTGCCTCCTTCAGACACTTGGTGCACACTACCGCTATATGGTAAGCGATTAAAAAGGCATTCCTCAGAGAAACAAGAACTGCAAAGTACCACTTAAAATGACGAGCTCTTTCCTTTTACAGTATCACAGCAGCAATGAAAACTCTTGGCCAGTTTCAAGAACATGAGGAAACTATTCTGGAAGGCAAAATCTGAAGCATAACTCAAAGTCTCTAAAGAAATTACCAGAATGCACAGAGTGGAGAAGCCAAACAGGAACTAAATAAGAAAATGACTATGTTTTCATAGTCATGAAATTTCATAGAATTTCATATTTAGACATAACGTCCTACTCTCAACTTCTGTCAGCATACACAGGAGAGGAGCACCACGCCATGCCAATAACCTCTATCCTTGCTTTAGGAGAAGAGCTTACTGTAGTGTATTCTGAAGAGGACATTTTCTTACATGGGCAATCAAAAATCAAATATTTGGACAAAGACTAGATCAGTACCCTCCTGCAGACAACAGTTTTAAGGTATAATGTTTCCCCTTCCTTCCCCTAAGAAGGAAACATATAAGGAACTTACTTCAACATTAAAAGTTAGTAACTGTACTTTGGAAAGCAAGACCTCAAAACACAACATAGATGAAATGAAACAGCCAAAAATTCAGTAGAATTAGCACAGCTCTCATTAAGTGTGTTACTTTTCTAGATCCAATAGCAGTTTTTCAGAAAATTACATATGGGAAAAAAAATATTACAGCATCAAATCCCCCTTTTTTTTTTTTTTAACCTTCAGCAAGGCCTGTATAAATACAACAGAAATCAAACTAGATACAGGAAAATCATGAGCTATATTGTGAGTATTTTTACTGTTTTAATACTGTCACAAGATAGAAGATCTGAAATAACGCTTAAGCTCTTAATGTTTGTCTGAAACTAACCCGGAGCTCCACAAAGTAGCCACCCAAAATATTTACATAGTGATGGCAGACCATGTCCACATTCCCATCATCCACAACACATGAGGCTGGCATTACTATCTATCTCCAGCTTGCTCCGTTTTAAAAGCCTTACTTCTGTGTATTTGCATGAAGTAATTAGAGTGGGTATTATTAAAGTAGAGACACTACTTACCATCATGTGATAATCCTCATGTCCTTCAATAGGTTCACTCACCACATTTTTAATGGACCCCATGGGTAACTTTTCTGTTCTCTCTACATTAAAATTGATCAAAGTATTATTTCTGATATATGAGGAAGTAGTATTTCATATTAATTTCAACACCACCTCCCTTGCTTCCAAAAGCTCCTCATGTCAGCAATCTCCTCTTTGGGTGAACTTTGGATACCTCCTGCTGAGGAGCCCCTCTTCCACATTACCACGTACCCCACAGCTGGCACGCTATTAATTTAAAGGAACCCAAAACTGGATCACACAGTTCCTCCCATTTTATGTCTCTGCATCACATTAAGTACTTCAGCATACCGGATTCGGGTCTAAACTAAGAGACGGGAAAACCCTGGCTTTATTTGATGTTTCCCCATAAGGAACTCCATTCCGACCAGCAGGAAATACTCACCATAGTGAAAGATGGTCCAGGTGTAAGAATATTCAAGAGTGACAACCAAGGATTATACTAAGCTCTACAGAAATGACAAGGCTGAAAGCTGAATGAAGACAGGCTAACTAACTCTTTGAAAGCCTAGTCCTGGTTTTAGCTTGAGGCAGTGTTCAACTGTTGCTATAAAAGCCCAGGGAAGTAAATATTAAGAAGGGAAAGGGAAAGAAACAAAAAGAGAAACTGGGGGGGGAAGATGACTACAATTACATGAGAGGAAATGTCAGCCAGCCAGAAGTAACCAACAAGAATGACAAAGTATACGGTTTACGGCAGACTTTTTCTGTCTCAGTTCCATCCTCACTTCTTTCTGAAGACTTAACTCCAAGATCCTTCCTTTCAGTTCCAGCTTTCAGCGTCACATAAAACAGAGAAAGGAGAAACTGAACTATGAGTTCCTTGGATACATCTAATTTCTGTGATCCAAAAAACACACCTACCTAAAAAAGGCACACAGGGAGATGAATTTTGTGATGTAAAGACAAATACTCCCTACCTCAGTGTTGTAACTAAGTTAACTCTGAACTACCCCACTCAGACTCGCGACATTCACTCATTGAGTAAAATCTTACTTTGCACTTAGCATCCCGCAAATCATTTACTCTTCACAGCATCTCAGCAATAGACAAATCCACATTCTCAATGCCTCTACAAAAATGACACAGAGCAACTGAGAAACATCTATCTATACCAAACCTTAAACTACAAAAATGTGCAAAGTAATCTGTGAAGCACAGGGAGGCTGTGTGGAGGAAGAATCAGTTTCAACTTTCCAGGACTAGCAAGTGAAAAACTGTGTTAACACCCAGTTGGTTTTATTCCAGCGCTTACGTGCTGGCATCTGCCATGAATTTCTCAGAGCAGGAAGGAGTTTTTCCCAACAACAGCCAGCAATTACAACCATTCCCTAGAGGAAGCAAGCTGCTGCTAATTCTGGGAAGTGGGGAAACAGGTTACATGAAAGACAGATGACTACAAGTAGAATCAAATTTCACAGCTTAAGAAACACTAATCTAGAACACTTCAGAAATACTAAACTTGAAACTCGTCTAGAAAGTGAAGGAAGAGGATTTATTACCCAAATACTAAGCATGTATTTAGAAGACATTATCAGTAACAAAAAGATCTGCCTGCCCAACCTATAGAGGAAAAAACCCCCAATGTCTCGCTCCATCATTTAGCCCAGGAGAAAAAAAATCACTGCAACTGGTTCCAATAGAGGTTTTAAAGAAAGAAAAATCTTCACTGTCGAGTCTGTCCTACAAACGAAAAATTTCAGAGATTTTGGTTTACTTTGGAAATAACGTAGCAGCTGGAGGTGACACCCAAAGCTAATATTACCATCCAATTAGGTTACTTTACTGGGACAGTGAGCAAGCGCTTCTATTCCTCTTGCTCATCACTATAATATTGCCCCATCCTGGTCAAACTAAAGGAGCACAGCTTCCTTTGGAGGCAGGGGGTTATCTGAGACGTCCTCAGCAACGCACGTTATCACCACAGCACTTTCAGCTCCTCCTGGCACCACTCAAGAAGGTAAACCGACTCCTCTGCACAGCAACACATGCCATAATTTCTGCAGTTGTACATCACTGAAACAAGACACCCAACTAATTTTGGTTGGAAGGACAGATACTGATAGAGATGCCAGCACTCCTAGCTTTAATGCCAGTCCCAAGATTCCGTTTCGAGTCTCAGCCAAGTCGTTGAGCCTCTATGCGATGTTGGCAGCAAACCAATGTTTATGAAGTGCTTTTGAGATACGCTAGGAATGTCAAATATTATAATTTACATTTAGACCTATGAATAGCAGATTGGAACATTAGTCTACTGGCACAACTGAACTCAAGTTTTTCAAGAACAGAAGTAAAGTATCAAATAATATTCAATGATCTGGGAGAATGGCATTTGAGAAGAGGAAGCAAAATTTAGTATTGAAGTGTTATAATACCAACATTATTTCCTAAACACAATTTAGTCACACCAGAATCTATTTCTAGGTCACACAATTCACTTATAGCCCAATTATCAATTATTCACCTCAGAGTTTTAGAGTTACTCACCTTTTGTGCCAATCCATAGCTGGTCTTGCTCAAGTTTAAAGGTCAATCTTACTTTCCCCCCTGACTTGTTGTACATGCCAGATAATGGCACTGTTGGCAGGCGCTCCTACAAAGAGGCAACGGTAAGTCACAGTGAAGGACTTTAACAGGAAAAGCTATATTCTCTTAAGTCTTTAAGCATAAGGATGATGCATCTTTCCAGTTTTCTGCTAAGATGACAAAGAATGATTGAACCAGCAAGGAAAGGTCTCAAAGCACAAAAAAGTCTCTCTTTTCTGATCATGACAATGTCTCAAGTACTTATTTACTTACCTGGACACCTTTAACAGAAGGCATCACATCATCAGGTTTTCCTTTATCCAATACTTTTCTGTGTTGCTACAATATACAAACAGAAATTAGAATTCAGAGAAACACAACAGAGCTTTTCAATTTACTTCCAGCTGCACCCTTGACCATATCCCGATAGCACTAAGAGACAGTTAAGGACCATTCACAGTCATTTATCACACCAGAAACAGTTAATTTTCAAAGTTAACCAAGCACTTTTTGTGACAGTCTAAAGAAATCCTATAAATTAATAAAACCTCCATATAATGCAAAGGGTAACATCCACTCTAAATATACATAAATACATATTTATAAGAAAAATTAAAGAATCCCAGGTCCCACTTTAATCTCATACATGCTGAATCACATAGCTAGCACTTGGCAAGACAGTTTTAACAGTCACGTGTTATACCCAGTGAATGGCAGAAAACCCTCCACATCTGACAGCGCAACATACCGCAGCACAATAACAAACCAGAACAGATTAGAGCAGTAGTAACTAAGAAAACCATGCTGACAGCTTGTAAGTTGCCGAGTACCTTTAAACAATGATGGAACTTACAGTGAACGTGAACTATGATAAATTATAGAAAAACAAAAGCATATTTCATAAAGGTCGTAGTTCAATGATGCACTACTTAATTTTTAATCAAATTTATTTTGAGGAAGGTATGGGGCCGGCAATACGTTGTGCTGAAAATCCTCTATCAGCCCCACAACACTGCAGCACCGCCACCAAACCAAGCCTCACCGCACTGTACTTCAGTCCCTACCCGGAGGCAGCACTTCAAGATATCAGAGGAATATTCAACATCCATGTTCCCAATCAAATTCTTTTACACCAATAAAAATTTGTTAGTTTTCAGATAGAATTAATCTAGACTGTGTTTGAGCTAACAACCATGAAATATTTTTATTTTTCATCATTTCTTGTCTGAAATGCGAGGCTGTGCCTGGCACCAGCACGAGCGATGTCTTGCAAAGCCCCAGCCTCCGCTAGGCTGAACATTCTTCTGTTGCCACAACTCCTCTGCA